TCTCATTTATAATATGGCAAAAGAGGTGCATAAATGTTCCACTACAAACTTATTAAAAGCCCCATATTAGTCTAAAATTTTATGCGTACGTAAATATGTACAAAAGAGAATTTTATGCAACTACAATATGTAATAAAAATGTTGTATTTGAAACAGCTTTTGCAGTGAAATTAATATGAAACCATCAAATGCCACAGAATCCGATTACTACTATGCTTAAATCGTTTTTGGCATATTTTCGCTGCAATTATCCTGCTCTCCATCTAATAATTTTCCCTTATAACCTGTTCCCTTAATGACTTTAATTTTTGTTGCTTACGAATTCATTGCGCAATTGCGTAGAAAATACATCTTATAGGATGTGCTGAATGTGGGAGTCAGCTTATTCGGTATCCACAATAATTAGATGAGCAAACTGTAAAATGAATGAATGACGGGATTTTGTCTTGATTTTCAAAGCACGAACCATCTAAAAAGCATTTTACTTTTATTTAATAAATCACTTATGAAGCAGAGACGCCTCAAATCTATGCACAGATTTGCGTGCCCACTTGTAGTTCTACCCGAGTAAAGGAAACTAGTACAATAAAAACCACTCTTTGATTATCAGAAAATTTTAAGTAGTCTAGGCTGCAAGTTTTAACTTTTTTGCGCCATTTATTGCATGTTTTGGGATCCAAAAGCGCGTGTCAATTGTCTTTAAAAGTATATTTAAGTTGAATGCGTCTGTCTCTATTATCTTCCTAGCTGTCTTGCCTTGCCTCTTTTGGCATCCATTCATCTTCACAAACTATATCTGTATCGTTTAAAAGATTTTGCGTGTGTATATGAATGCATTTGTAGGAATAACTTCATGTTTCGTGGAAGACAAATCATCTGGATGAATAGAATGCAGCCTTAGCTGATTTGCTGGCTATAGTAATGAAGTGAGCCAGTTGCGAAATGAATGAATAGCGAAAGTGTTGAAGAGCGCTCTTATACACGTGCCACTTTATCTCTTTTTTCGTTTTTTCATCGTAAATGTGTTTAGGTCATTCGACAGTATTCGTGGGTACCCAATTGGAAAAATGTGAATGAATATAACTTTTGATGATTTGGTGGAAGTAAATTCGGCTATGCTAAAATAAGTAAGGGACATTTAATTATAGGTCTGGTTAGACCATGTAAAGTAGGTGTTGTTGCAACAGTGTTTGACAGGAGTGTAAGTGAGCACTGCAAAGTAGCATGCACAAACGCTCATTTGACAGACTTGAAATAGGCACGCAAGTGGAGAGTTAGGCCGAGAAGCGGACTTAACTATCGACTCTTTGGGCCTAACTGCTCAAATCACTGCTTAAAAATCGTCGATATATATCTGCCAAACGCTGCGCCAATATTTGCTACTGGTGTGTGAAATATTGGTGACCTGATCGGACATATTGTCAGACCGGGTCATACATTGCCATTTATAGTCATATAGTCCAAACGCTCTCAGTAATCGCCAAAATCGAGTGAACCATGTAATTCCGACTTTAACTGTTAGCAACCGCTCTTCACTCAGTCTATACTACCCTCTCATTGAAACTCACAACTTTCATTTGCAGAGCCTATTACCAGAATACTGGTTGTTCAAGCATCACATACAACTTAATTCAAGAAAGCCTATAAAATGATCACTCGTGACCAGGGAGCAACGCAATAGCCCATGCTCAGTCTACTCTGAAGGACATGGGTGTAGTGTAGGGGACATTCCTTTGTATATGTCCTGACGAATAGTAAGGCATCTCGTAGACAATGTTAGATGTTGACTTGGTAACTGCATGGCTTACCTGGGGCCCCCTGAACCAAATTATCCCAATGAACAAATCAGAATCAAAGTTAAAATAAAACATCACCATTGCTAAATGAACATGGGTTACAATCGCGTCGGAGCGGAGTCGTCACACCTGCC